TGGGAGGTTGTCGTTGTCGGCGCCGCTGCGGAGTTCCGGTTCTTGGAACTTCGGTTTGGGGTCGTTTCTGCCACCCCGTTGAGCAGAAAGTATAGCTGCAGGAGCTTGAATCGCAGAACGGCAGTCGCTGAAGTGGAGTCCGCTGATGCTCGTGCGAGGTTGGGGGCCCCGACAGAATCCTAGAGTGGCTTGCCACAAGGCCTACTTCGATCATGAAGGAGCCCTGGTACGTTGGTGTCTTTTTCTCGGACAAACTCCCAAGCCTCTTCTGAAAGGGCCGTCAAGCCTGCAGGGTCACCTATCTGGAAATATCTGGAATACTTGTGGAGGGTCCTGAATACTTGCTTTGCGCCCCTTCTCAGCAACAGATCATCAAGATAAGAATTCAACGTCAGGTTTTAGCCAGACCCTTCCCAACTCTCGCACCAAGGACCGGTGTGCTGATGCGCAGATGCTGTCGGAGGTAGGGTTTTAAGGGTTTCGCATCGGGCTCCCGCGTCGCACCGCTGGATGCCTAGCGAGTTCCGCGATTTATTCAAGCATCCATCTTCGCGCACTAGGAAACGGCGCCTGATTCTCGCCCCAAACACGCATTGAAAGGTCTCCCGTGTATTTCTGAACAGTGGATTTGCTGGAGTTCGACGTGAGCCGTTTCAGTTCTGAGCAGGAGCCACTCTAGCAGCAATGGATGCGATGCCAAGGGTCTCGTCGCGCCTACACAGGGAAACCCCACAGAGAAGCCTCCAGGACCGAAATGTAGTAGCCCCCTCCACCTAACAAAACGCTCCAAACCCAACATCAACTGCAACTGTGAACTCTGCGCTGAAATCGTTGACCAGGGTGCCACGGCAAAGTCTGGAGCGCCCAATGGCACGCAGGCACATGAGTCGCTTCACTGACAGACAAAGATGCAGTCGGTCTTGGTGGCTTCGAGTTTCCTGGGGTTCGGGTTCAGAATTTCTGAATACCACGGTCCGCTGCAGCCTCTCCTGATCACAATCGTTTGCACAACGTTGTAAGACATCGGGAGAGGCCTGGCCGTAACTATACAAGTTCACGAAGCTGTCGACAATATCGTAGGTATAAGCTCACGAAGCTGTCGACGATACCGTAGGTGTTGCCACGGTGAATTTGGGTATGCCATGCAGGAC